CTCCAAATCTGGGAGCTGTTTCATGGAAGGAAGAAAACCTGGGCCCTTGCCCACTTTGCGGGTGTAGTGCTCGCACCCACACAGAAGTGGGATGTGCTTTCGGTTATACTTAGCATGAGGAATAGGGATGTCTACTCTTGCTGCAGAAGCGGCGGTCTCCTCAATTCCTTTTTAGTTGTCAAATTATCTGTTCATAATGTATTTTGAATATGATTACATCATATATTTGCTAAGGGATTGCTGGTTTAAGTTATTCTCATTTTTAGATTTTACATGATTCCTGATAGTTGAATATTTAATTTTAACTATTTTGTTATATGTGTATTTTTTAGTATAATAACCCTGAAATTTTTTTTGGACATAACCCCAAACTGTGAATCTCTTAGTTAAAGATCTAGTTAGCAGATATTTAAAAACCTTTCTACAGAAGAATTCCATTGATGGAAGTATTGACAAGTATTGAAGCAAGTATTGACATGCTGAGCCAGTGTTTATGTACATATGATCCAGTTATTTGTGAAGGAGGAGGTAATAATGAATGTTTTCTCGTGGCATACTTCTAGAAAATCAGCTCAACATACATAGAGGTAGAGGTGTCAAAAATTACTATAGCAACTCTTCTTCATCCATGATATTGTGTCTTAAATTATTCACCAAACAACTGTAACTATAGAGCTTTGAGTGAATCGTTTTTGCATTTCCAAGTCCCTTGCATAGCATTAGAAAATAAATTATTCCCATTATTATTGCTTTTTAGTTTGTGCCATTTGGTGCCCAGGCAAAGTATGAGAGAACTGGGCCATGTTTGAATCTTTTTCATTACTCTGTCCAGATGACACTTGGCCTAGAGTCTAGTTTTAACATGTGTAGTGGCAGAGGTTATTGTGTAACTCCTAGCAGTGATTTTTAAGTAGGGTAGGGGTATTTTGAACCTGGAGTATTTTGAGTCTTGTTTCTATCCTGAAATTACAATATTCTACTAAACTAAAATTTTGTTTTTCAACTGATAATCTCTGAGAGAATGACCATTTTGAATAGGTATATCTTTGAATAAAATTGTTAAATATCTTTTTTCTGGCAGAATCAGAAAACTGACTTGTCTAGAATGAAAGAGAATGAATAGGAATCAAGTATTTACATGCTGAGCCAGTGTTTATGTACATATGTGTCCGTGTGTGTAGTTTTTGAAAGTGGTAAACAATCAACCATTAGCTAAAAATGAAACAAATGGAAATATTGATTAAAAATACCTAATAGAGGGCGGTGCCTGTGGCTCAAGGAGTAGGGTGCCAGCCCCATACACCAGGCGTAGTGGGTTCAGGCCCCACATCAGCCAAAAAACTGCAAAAAACCAAAAAACAAAAAACCAACAAATAGAGGTTCGACATCTGTAGCTCAGTGGCTAGGGCGCCAGCCACACATACCACAAGTGACGGGTTTGAACCCAGCCTGGGTCTGCCAAACAATAATGACAACTACAACAGCTGGTTGCAGAGAGGTCAGTGAGATTCTAAGCATGACAGCTTTGCCTTAAAGGAGGTACTCTGTGGCTGAGAGGTGGCAGAGCCAGTGCCTGAGCAGCCTATAGGAGCTGAGTATTATAATATCCCAGCCAGCAGCCAGTAAGAAAACAGAGGCCTCAGATCTACAACCTAAAGGAATGAAATCTTCCAGAGTTGGCTGGGTGCCCGTAGCTGTGGTTAAAGCACTAGCCACATACACTGAAGGTGGTGGGTTTGAACCCAGCTAAACAACTGCAACAAAAAAGTAACCAGGCATTGTGGCAGGTGCCAGTAGTCCCAGCTACTTGGGAAGTTTAGGCAAGAGAATTGCTTAAGCCCAAGAGTTTGAGGTTGCTGTGAGCTGTGATGCAACTGCATTCTACTGAGGGTGATATAGTGAGATTCTGTCTGCAAAAAAAAAATACCTGATAGAATTGCAGCTCCATTTACAACTGGCAAAATGTGGAAACAACCTAAATTCCCACCAACCCAGGAATGGATTAGCAAACTGTGGTATATGTATACTATGGAGTTGGAACACATTCTTAGTAAAGTATCAAAAGAACGGAGAAACAAGTATCCCATGTATTCAATGCTAATATCAAGCCAGTAAACATCTAATACATGCCCACATAGGAGAAAAACTCAAATCAATTCAAGATGGGGAGTGGTGGGGGGGAAAGGGGGATGGTTGTGCTCCCACTTAACAGGCACAATATTAGGGTATATAGCACACCTCTTGGGGCAGGACACAATTATAAGAGGGACTGTACCTAACAAGTGCAAACATGGTTAACCTGTTTCTTTATACCTTCAAATTAACAACAATAACAAAAATATTAAAAACAAAAGCAAAAATAACCCCCCAAACAAATTTAGATTGAAGAGTGAGATTTGAGTGAGAAAACTTAATACCACTATTATAAAAAAAAAACAAACACCTAACTTATCTATAAAAAGTGTTATACATTATCTTTTTGTTATACATTAATCCTGTGTTAAAGGCTAGGGAGTAATTGTAATAAACTTCTTCTAGTCCTGCCTCTGACTGTCTTGATCTCAAATTATAACTTACAGGGTGCTGGTATCGAAATATATCCTGGGAGTAAGTGTATCTTGACCGACAATGGCATCCATCACTGCAAGGAAGGGATCCTTATTAAGGTGAGGATAAGCTGAAACACCCTCTTTGCAAAGGTTAAAATGATTTCATATTAGAAATTACGTTTTACTAAACTCCCATGTTGGGTTCTCTTTCCATGGTTTATTTTTATTTTCATTTTTATTTTTTGAAACAGTTTCACTCAGTTGCCCTGGGGTTGAGTACTGTGGCATCATAACTCACAGCAACCTCATACTTCTGCGCTCAAGTGATTCTTTTGCCTCAGCTTCCCAAGTAGCTGAGACTAGAGGCAGCAGCTACAAGACCCAGCAATTTTTTCATCTGAGGTCTTGCTTTTGATCAGGCTGGTCTCAAACTCCTGAGCTTAGGCAATCTGCCCACTTTGGCCTCCCAGAATGCTAAGATTACAGGTGTGAGCCACCATACCTGGCCTGTTTCCATGGTTTAAAAAAGATAAACAGGCAGCGTCTAGGACTCCAGTCACATAAACTGGAACTGTTGGCTTGAACCAAGCCCAGGTCTGCCAAACAATGACAACTACAACCAAAAAATAGCTGGGCATTGTGGTGGGTGCCTATAGTCCCAGCTACTTGGGAGGCTGAGGCAAGAGAATTGCATAAGCCCAAGAGTTGGAGGTTGCTGTGAGCTGTGACGCCACAGTACTCTTCTACCGAGGGTGACATAGTGAGACTTTGTCTCACAAAAAAAAAAATAGGGCGGTGCCTGAGGCTCAGTGAGTAGGGCGCTGGCCCCATATACTGAGGGTAGCAGGTTCAAACCCAGCCCCAGCCAAACCGCAACAACAAAAAAATAGCCGGGCATTGTGATGGGCACCTGTAGTCACAGCTGCTCGGGAGACTGAGGCAAGAGAATCACCTAAGCCCAGGAGGTGGAGGTTGCTGTGAGCTGTGTGTCTACTGAGGGTGACAAAGTGAGACACTGTCTCTACAAAAATAAAAAAATAAATAAATAAATAGCATAAACAGCTCCTAAGTCTTGATGATATCAATAGTTAGTGTTTCAAAGTATCTTATGGGAATACTCTGTTGCCTATAGATATGTAGAAGTGAGAGAGGAATACTGTGTCACTCAGAACTCAGAATGTTCTAACATGTTAATAAGCAAAATTGTTGGCTCCACCGAAGGTGGCGGGTTTGAATCCAGCCCGGGCCCGCCAAACAACAATGAAGGCTGCAACCAAAAAAATAGCCAGGCGTTGTGGCGGGCGCCTGTGGTCCCAGCTACTTGGGAGGTGGAGGCAGGAGACTCTCTTGAGCCCAGGAGTTGGAGGTTACTGTGAGCTGTGATGCCATGGGACTCTACCCAGGGGGACAGCTTGAGGCTCTGTCTCAAAAAAAAAAAGCAAAATTGTTCCCTATTAATTTTAGAATAGCACAAAATATATTTTTACTGTAGGCAGTGTTGAATATGACAGTTCCGTAAAACATTTGTTTTAATGCCATAGGACTTTTTAGATGAACATTATGACATTCCCAAAATATCCATGGTGAATAATATTATACATAATAATGAAGGTTATGGCGTTGTCTTGGTGAAACCTACAATTTTCTGTGACCTGCAAGAAAATGCCCAAGATGAAACTGAAGGTATGCTATATTTAGTAATTTTTATGTTAAATGCAGATCTAATTTATTTTAGCATTAAAATCTTATTAAGGTTGTGAATCTTTTTCTCCTCCTTCAATACAATTGCAGAATATGCCTTGGGCATGGAGAGAGGGAAGCTTGGTAAAATCATTAACATCATAGACTCTCAGAGTTAAATAAACTTTCCAGCTCAAGTATTATTTGTTCACCTGTTCATTGAAAACCTTGATGTGTGGTTTCTGTGGTCCTGCAGTCCGTCTTTATCATGCCTGGCTTCTATAAATGCATAGAGTAAGGATGAGCATTTGATAGCAGTGGTGGCTCCTGCTCAAGTTTGTTGAGGATGGAGACAGTGAAATGTACATGCCAGATTGGAGGCTGCATTTACTGATGGGGATAGTGGAGTTTCCTCCAACTTTTTTATTCGTAGAAGTAAATGTTTCCCTGTCCCCTGCCTTTTTGGCAGTAACAGTGAGCTAACTCAGTCGAATTGGTGAATTGATGATCTCTGTTAAATCTCAGTGCTAAAGAGTGATCAAACATTCATGTGATCAATGAACGTTTAAAGTAGTTTAAAAGGCCCAGGCATAGTGGCTCACACCTATAATCCTAGCACGCTGGGAGGCCAAGGCGGGTGAGCTCACGAGTTTGAGACTAGCTTGAGACAGAGCGAGACCCTGTCTCTAAAAGTAGCTGGGCAGTGGGCGACCCCTGTGGCTCAGTGGGTAGGGCATCAGCCCCATATACGAGGGTGGTAGGTTCAAACCCAGCCCTGGCCAAACTGCAGCAAAAAATAGCCAGGCATTGTGGCGGGCACCTCTGGTCCCAGCTACTCGGGAGGCTGAAGCAAGAGAATCACCTAAGCCCAGGAGTTGGAGGTTGCTGTGAGCTGTGTGATGCCACGGTACTCTACTAAGGGCAATAAAGTGAGACTCCGTCTCTACGAAAAAAAAAAAAGTAGCTGGGCATTGTGGGGGGCACCTGTAGTCTTAGCTACTTGGGAGGCTGAGGCAAGAGGATCACTTGAACCCAAGAGTTTGAGAATGCTGTGAGCTATGATGCCATGGTACTCTATCAAAGGTGACAAAGTGAGACTGTGTCTCAAATATATGTGTGTGTGTGTGTATACACATACACAGAGAAAGTAGTTTAAAGAACAGTCCTAGTCATCCACTGGGATTAGCTCTAGGTATCTCTCTGGGAGATACAATGATTACAGGCATGAGCCACCACTCCCAGCCTGTTTCCATGGTAAAATAGGGGTAAACTTCTCACTGTCTGACAAGAGTGACATCAAGGTGTCAGCTGGGCAGGACTCTATTCTGAAATCTCTGGCAGATTTCTTTCTATTTTTTTTTTTTTGAGACAGAGTCTCACTGTATCGCCCTCAGTAGAGTGCTATGGCGTCACAGCTCACAGCAGCCTCAAACTCTTGGGCTTAAGTGATTCTCTTGCCTTACCCTCCCAAGTAGCTGGGACTACTGGCACCCGCCACAATGCCTGGTTACTTTTTTGTTGCAGTTGTTTAGCTGGCCCGGGCTGGGTTCAAACCCACCACCTTCATTGTATGTGGCTGGTGCCGTAACCGCTGCTACGGGCACCCAGCCAACTCTGGAAGATTTCATTCCTTGGCTCGGCACCTGTGG